TGATTCTGATCCAGTAGCTTATTTGACTGCTCATCCCCCTACCTTGCATTGCTTCGTACTATTCGAACTATTCATTTATCACTGTTCGTTGATTCGTTCTCAATATTTCATGGGTTTGTTGATACTTATTGTTTGTTGTTCATTATACTCTCACTCCAACATTCAATTTGATATCACATTTCATTCTAGAATCTTGAAAATCATCGAATAGGTATCTGAGTCGTGGAAATCATCCATTTTCTCGAAATGGTCTAGAATTTTTCGAAGCAAAAATGCAAAAAACCGAAAGTCGGTCGACCACAACATATTTATTACATGAAGACATGTAACTAGTATTGGCACACGGTCATCATCAGACACATAATGAATGCACCTGTAAGGAACAGCGATGAAAAATCTACGAAAGCTACTGATGAGAAGAATCTCACTATGTGCAGCAATAATTATTGGCAATTACGACATAGCTCCAATGCTCAAAGTGGAATGAAATGTTGAATAGATAAAAGAAATGACTTCGAGCTCTTTGTATTCATTTGATAATTAGTGGGTTGGAAATATTGAAATGGGGGTTGTCAGCCGAAAAAAAGCAGTCCTAAGTGTACAAATCTAATAACTAGCGGCTGAACAACCATGATTAGCTATCAACAATCTGGTTGAACATCAGTTAGAAATCAATAGGATCAAATTGAAAACAAAAATCACTCGAAACTTCATTGAGATCATCGTATGTAGGCTGGCGGCCATTGGACAAAGCAAAATCAAGCATCACAGGGAGATTCACATGACAAGAAATTAACAGATTGACATTCGAATTCAAAAAAAACAGAAGAAATCATTATTTTGAAGTCTGCAACAGGGCCGTCTTGATGACGAGATTTAACTTTAAGAAAATTTCAATGAACGAAAAATGTGGTTTCTTTCAAGAACAGTTCGGTTGTCGAGACAAGTGATATCTGGATTATCAATACATTTCTGGATTCCTAAAATTTTCAGTAGGTTGAGCCATAGACTTTCATCCCCAACGTGAATGATCTCCATGTTGGAGCTGACATTGAAAAAATAATTCGAATCGATAATGTGGTTGGCAAACGGAGGAGTTGTTGTGTTCGACTTGCCAGAATAAGAAAATTTGTGTATTGACCTATATATTGTGTTCTGAGGCACGAGTTTCAAAACTCCTACCTGTTTGGGCATTGTAAGAAGAGCTACAATCACCATAATTCAGTTCGAGGACACCTGATTTCTTGTCAAGGCGGATTTTATTTTTCAAATCAACAAGTTAATGTTTCAGATTGTCAGAAGTTTCATAGGCAATGTTGCTATTGGAAGTTCTGGAAATTCCTTCAATCTGTACAGAATAATGACCGTTATAATGGGCCGATTTTGGAATGAGTTGATTAACCAATTAACTATGAGTGACATTAAATGACAATCTGAATTTGGTGTAAAATTTTGAATGAATTTTCATTCTTTGTTCCTAAGGAAATTGATTGTTGATGGCTATTTGTTTCATGATACTGATCCTTCTATCAAATGCAGGATCAAATTGAAGTAGGGTGGTTCGAATTGAAGGGGATCACAGGTTCTGTGGCTGTTGATTTCCAAAATATTTCAAATTCCAATTCTGATTTTCTCATAATCAGAAATCCTGGAACCCATAGATTGTAATTCGAAATATATAGGAAACCAATAGCCACAGACACAGTGATCCTCTCCAGTTCGAACAATCGTCCTTCACACAAGTTTGCATCGTTCAATTGCATTATCCATAGGATTTTCTCATCATCACTATCTGATTCTGCATTCAATAGAAAAATCAATGTCATATAACAAATAGCCATCAACGATCAATGTTTCTCAGAAAAGATAATGAATAAACAATCAAAATTTCACACCTCATTCAGATTGTCATTTAATGTCACACATAGTCAATTGGTTAATCTATACCAATTCTCGGATCGGTCCATTATTACGTTTATTGTAATGATTGCAGCCCTTTTTACATTGTCGAAACAGGTAGGAGTTATGAAACCTGTGCCCCAGAACACAATAGATCAATCCATCAATCAATCATTCACGTTTGTAATGGAGGTCCAAGTCCCAACCTACTGAAAAGTCGAGATATTCAGAAATGTATCGATAAACCAGATATCACTCGTTTTGACTACCAAACCGTTTTTGAAAGGAACCACATTTTTCGTACATTGAAATTTTGTCAAAATTTGATCATGTCACTCAGACCAGCCCTGTTGCAGACTTCAAAATAATAGTTTCATCTTCTCTTTTCAATTTGATGACACTGTGCACTATTTCTTTTTCTCTCAAATTCGTTTCCAACTCCACAAACCCTGGCCACCTATTTCTTTGTCATTGATTCTATTTACAATTTACAATCGAGACTTTATGTCAATGTGTATCGTCTCCTTTTTTCAGCTGAACCTGAATAGTTGCCTGTTTTATTTCGAATGTCTATGTATGTCTGATGTCAATTGGAAAATGACAATTTTCCAATTATTCTTCATGTGTATCTTCTTCTGGTGCTTGATTTCGCTTTGCCTTATGACCGCTAGCCTTCATATGATGGTCCCAATAAATGTTTGGAGTGGAACTGTTTCTCAATTCAATCCGATTAGTTCCTTTCTGGTGTTTTATATCAGGTATCTGATGATGGCCGAGTGCCAAAACTAGTTACACGTCCTATGTTATAAAATTTTTTTTGGTGACCAACTTTGGGTTTTTTAGTATTTTGCCTTTGAATAGGTTTCTGATTTTCATAGCCAGTTAATATCATGTGATAGGTTCCTGATTATATAATATATAAAATATTCTCTAATTACCAGGGAGGGAGCATGTCTGTGAACCCCTGGAAAACTGTAATCATCCCTTTTACCAAACAACAGAAGGTAGATGAGCTTTGTCAGCTTGTCCTTCATGAAATGAGCATTCCATCTGCGGCAGAGTGGATAAATCTAGATGGCACCCAAGATGAATGACTCACCTGGAACGTCCACATGGCAAATACTATCAACAAAGCCACATTTATCTTCTGAAATCTCAGCAGTGGTTGCAGCAAATCATGGGAAATCAACCCCAAATAGATTCACTGGATATACAGAACGATGGTGAAACCAATGGTCACGTATGGCTTGATAGACTGGTGTACTGGAGGTCTGCAGGGGACAGCAAGGGTGGAGCACGCTGTTCTCCAGCGAATAGCATGCCTGACCAATTCATGGGCGATGTCCTCTTCAACGGCAGCCATGGGGAACTTCCTGAACCTCAATCCTCTTCACATTTTCTCAGACAGGCAAGCAAGAATGATTTTTTTTTGTCATTGAAATAAACCAATTGAGAGGACTACTAGATCACTCCGGGACACTGTGTGAAAAAAAAATCACCAAACTCTAGGAATGGTATCCAACTTGTTGAATTCTCAGACACCCGTTTGAAAGTCTTTCATAGTCCTCTTCTTGGAAACAGACGAGTGGATTAACAAATCGATCTAGTTTACACAGACGAAACACCTCAATTACACAGATGGTTCGGAAAGCCTGCTTGAAGATAGAGCCGGTACGTTCACCAAAAATCCGGAAATCAAAAACTCAGGCAAGTATATTACAATCTCTCAGGCATAGGTCTTTGCAATTGAATTTTTTACTTGAAAATTGGCGTATAAATCCCTAGGGAACAGAAACACGAGTATTAAATCAGACATTCAGGCTGCTCTCGAAGCACTGAGCTGCAGCAAGATTAATGATCACATGCCTGTAAGGAAGTGTATTGAGTGCTAACGACAAAGTCACTTCGCTGTGGGTTCCTGGACGTAGGGAGGTGCGGAGCAACGATACAGTCGACATCCTCGCCAAGAAGAAAACCAAATCTGTCTTTATAGAACCAGAAATATACTCTAGAGTCACCGCGAGTGAGGTCAGAACAAAAATCTAGGACTGGTAGAAGGAAAAGGGACTCTTGTACTGGTCTGAATTACTAGGATTAACCCATACGAAAGCGTTTTTGCATGAATCATCAAAAAATTTAACCAGTGAGATTCTCGAATGAAGCAGGGGCAATTCGCGGATGCTGACAGAACTGCTCGTCTCAGATACCACCTAGGAAGGATGGGTCTGAACTAACAAGCGGACTGTCGATTCTGCTATGTGGGAAACGGAACGGCTGAACACAAACTATGCGCATGCTATTGCTGAGAGATACTACAGTTCGACATATTTTGGGTTCACCACTTCAGAACCCATCGACTTCAGACAAATTCCACCACATTCAACTATGGAATTGGTGATGAATAGTGGATTGTACATTGATCTGTAACCTATAAACGTGAGCCACAATCTGAGCTCGTAGTGAAGAAGCGGTGTTTGTCTTACTCACATAAAATCTGACCTCACTTTTTGATAAGTCTTGATTATTCAACATAACATTCGAATTCCATCCGTTTCCTCTTTTCTGTTTCTCCATGAAAATGTATCGTGTTATAAATGGCGATAAAGAATTATCAGTGAAGTATTTATAAAGACTGATATTAGGTTGATTGAACTGTGCTCCGGCGCTGTTTCATGTGATGAAGTCAATATTTCATACATCTCTGTGAAGGAATTTCTTAGCCCTTATCAATGGTATGAACAATTATAATGACAGCCATGATGAGAAAAGGGGCTGTATAGTGAATATCTGAAACTGGTCGAGATAGAATATTCTTGACAATACCAACTCATTTGTCATGATTGATCACCTGTTCACGCAGAATTTCAAATTTTTTGCCGAATATTTACCACGAAAATGAATAAAAACTGAAGCAGTGATTCTCAGTTTTTGTCACGATACAACAGGAACAGCTGAAGTTTCTTCGAGTTTCGAAACGTCATATTGATTAGGATTGAATAACACAACTTTTGACTCATATGATCAACTCTCTCTAACCATTTATAGGGAATTGAAATCCTGTAACTATCGAATCGGCTGAACCCTGTATATGATGTTCATTTGTGATAAAAATAATTCGATATCTACTTATTGTCATATCCATATTTTGAGATGAAGAATAAAATCAGTTTAGATCAATGCTTAGACAGAGAAGTATGAAGATTCGCTATTCGTCACACTTTCAGAAAACATGAAGTATATCACCTGATGAGCGCGATTTGAATGTTTATTTGCCATTCGTAAAATACACTTTTTGGCAAATTTCATGCATTACCCTGAATTACATTAGAAAATATATTAATATAATCTTGGGTCCATTCAATTATCCGATTCCTCCTCCTGCCAAAGAAGCTATTGCAGCACTACTGATACCCGCTGGTGGAAATGCTGCAGATATCACCACTGGTGTGGTCAATTCAAATCCAGTAGCTTCACTTCCTCCTGATTCAGTGGTTGATTGTGATGATTCCACGGTTTGATTCAATGTCATTTCCTCCAAAGTACTCTCTTTTGATGATACATTCAAGCCAGGAACTGGCCTGGGGATGACCTCTTCTCTCGCATTGTATCCTGTTTCGTCTGCATGATATTCGACTCTATACCGTTTGTCATCACTCCCAAGGTATGAATAGAATCCAGTTACACGAAATATGGGATTATCTCCTACTTCATCTAGTACTCCGTTCTCTTCCCTTTCTTGGCCTCCGCTTGTTTTATACCTGCAAAATAAATCATGTCAAGTGTAAGCACGACTGATTGATACCAAAAATGATATGATTACTGAATATAGAACAGACTTTCGAGGTGATTATTATGTGGATGACTCATGCTGTAGGAGTTGATCGGAGTGTCAATGTTCTCTCTTTATGAACATGATATATGCTTTAAAATGGTCGGTAGTTGAGGAAAAGGGCATTGTGTCGTAACCCACTTTTCTCAACTAACAGATGATTATCAAAGGCAATAAGAAGATGGGTCACATGTAAGGGGACGGCAGCTTTTCATCAGGTGAACAGATAAGTGAGTTTGAGATAGTAGTAGATGCATAGGAATCCATGTTTTCTTGATTTGTCAGCCAATCTCAATCGGATATTCCACTTTTGATAATTGAGGAAATCAAATATTTAACATGATGATGAAATTCTGAAAATAGAGATGTGTTCTTTCTCTCAGATTGTGGATCGGATAAATATAGATGGATAAAAGGCCGCACTTCTCCGAAACCAATTCATTTCCTGCGAAAACAGACAAGGCACATTTGAGCCTATGAAGAGGCTAATGGAAAATTAGCGACTCAGAAATAGACCAGTATCTACAACCAAATGAATAGAAAATAGTTCAAATCACTAGGGAAGTCAAGCGTAAAACCTACACCAGTCGCATAGCGCTATGAAAGGGCGTTAAAGGAGGGTTTCAAGTTCAATGTATTGAATGATAGATTAATAAATGGATTTCCTAACAAAAACCAGATTCAACAGCCTGTTCAGAGAACGAGATCACCCTAATCACAGTATATTTCCACTGAATGGGCAGCATAGGTTTCTGTCAAACAACACCAACATGAGAAGAAATTCCTCCACAAATTTTCTGAAATGAACTCTGTAGTCTCTTTCCTTGGTATTCCTTCTGGAGCTACCATAGAGTTGAGCAAAACAGATTGGCTTCTGGCACACTTCGGTCCAACTCAAAGTTCTCCGCAGCCTTCTTCATTCCAGATCAGTGGCGTAAATAGTAACAGAGTTACATAACATTCTAACTAGTGGAAAGTTGGATCCTCGATGGATGCAACAACAGCGTAGAAGAAAAATGGTAAAGCTCTAGCATTATCCTACAACCCTGTTAAAGAAATGAGTTCCTTCATTCTCAGGTCACAGCACGTGGTATATAGATAAACCTGCTAGAAATCGATATGATTCAATCCAAAATGATCAACCGACCATCGACTCATCTTCTCAGAAAGGCTAAACTGAAGTAATCATAGTAGCAAACACGAGGTAGAGCTCCAGGTGACACTAGGGCTGTTCACGTATAGAGACATGGAATTGGCTCAAATTACGACGTTGAAGGAAGGTCAATAGCCCATAAAAATAACTAGAACAAATCTTCTTCGAGGACAATCGATGAGAATCGATTCTCTTGTATCTTCTCATTTTACCAGAAAAATATGCAAGTGCCTCTCGTCATAGTCACCGGGCAGAATTGAGATCGGAAGTCCCTCTGAAAACTAAATTTTTTTCCTGAATCTGTCGAAAAAGTCGCTCAATCCAATATATCATCACAAAACGGAGTAGGTCACCCACAAAAAGGATAATTCTTGACCGGTGTTGAACCACTACTGATTCTGTGGAAAATCTCTGTGACGACTTCAGCCTCTCGAATCATTAATCTCTCTCGCGACAGAACAATTGCAGACAGACGAGTGACTTGTGAAGTGTGTCAACCTAACAGTGACGTATTCGCTAAGAATATAACCGACTTCTAATCACGAAAATATTATGAAAATAACATTGTTCAAGAGTTTATTCATGCAACATCTCGTCAGCGGTAGATTATAGTAAGGAGCTTGTTCCTATGACAACCGCGATCATATGACTTGTTTAGATTGAAGCGATTGAAGGGCAATGTGTTCCAGACTCAAAGAACGACAAGGAAAGATATGAATACCCGGATTCGTAATGGAATACGTAACATAACGAGAGCCGAAATTGAAGCTGCAGCATCCACGGATGCTTCGAAAACTTTCCTTATATTCAAATCGTTGTTTTCCAGGAATCGAGTGCCACATATAATATATATATTTGAATGAAATCAGATCAAAAAACTGAATATTCAGGAAATTTTCGTTTGATATTTTCTTTCGCTCAATTTCAAGGTTATGAACAAGATATCGAGATGCGGTTTTCACATGCTTGTTGCAGCAACATTCAGCAACTGTTCCATGATAAGAAAACAATACTGATGCATTCGAAATATCACGCTATCTGAAGCCCAAGAATATTTCTCCTCAACTAGCCCATGTTTGTTGAAATCGGCTCAGCTGTTTTGGAGAAACACCCTGTGTTCTTCACGGAAACTGTCGAATACCACCACCACTTCGTTTTCAGGAAATCAGCGAAAATTGTCAACCAGGAAATGTTCAGGTAATCCTCGACTTTGGAGATCAGGTATCTTCATTTGACAGGTTTTTCTTTTGGTCGTTTCAGTGAAAAATTGATTTGCCACGATCCTCCACCACGGATAGGTTCCCAGATACAGTACCTCGCATTCTCAGTTGGCCACCCCGTACAACTTTGGACATTATAAAACATTCATATCATGAAGATTCTAGAACGTCCAAAAAATGTACGGTACTGATCCAAATTGTACGTTCATAAATTGAACATTTTTGTACGTTCAATGAATGTACGATTCTGGATATATATTGTGCATCCAATATTGTATGTTTCATGAATGTCTATTGAGAGTACAATATAAGATATAGTGAATCATCCATATAATAGTGGATTTAAAACGTCCAAGGATTGTACATAATCAGATCCAGTTTATACGTTCACAAATTGTACATTCATTTACGTTCCGTGAATTCATGATTCCAGATATGTATTTTACTTTCAGTTTCATGCGTCCAGTGTATGCACAATTTCTGACACCATGAAACATCCATTCGTCGAAGAAATGTACGGAACTGATTCAGATTGTATGTTTACAAATGGTACGTTTATGTTCATTTTATGTTTGTACGGAGTTGGACGCACAGTGGAGGGGATGCGAGATGGCGCTCTGATCGAAACATGAAGTGGGGTAACGAAGAAGACCGATCGAGTCGAGCTTCAAAGTGTACCTATGTTGACAAGAGACAAGGACATTAGGACATTTTGTGCGTTGTGTTTGTGATGAAATTTAGAATTCTGTCTATTTGGATTTGAATTACTCAAAGCAGGTATGATACCTAGCATATGTTCAGAGATCTCTTTCTATATACCTATTTTATTAATATAATCCATGTTCTCTGTTTATGGTTCATTGTAGCGTTTTCGAATTCCATCCGGTATACAACCTGTAAAGACGGGTGCGCAACCTGTGAGCGGGGTTATAGAAACGTGTAATACAGTCGCATAGATAAAATTTTTGGTTCTTAGTAGCGCGATAAACTGGTTCTGTAATTTGCAAATTGTACGGCACTAGATTCCGCCGTTGCGTTCTTCGCTAATAGATAGCGTTTAGTGTGAATCTGCATCAATTAGCAGGAATTTTTGAATGAAACAACGTTTACAGATTATCATTTCAATATTGCCTATACGTCAATAAAATCAACCCATTTCTTGGTCTGATGAAGCCAAAAAGGCCTTCATTGAAATTAAGCAAGCTTTAGTATCTGCTCCTATACTTTGTAGCCCTGATTTTTCGCAACGTTTCACTTTACAGTGTGATGCGAGTAACACTGGCGTTGGTGGTGTATCAACCCAGATGATTGACAGTGAAGAGTGAGTAATCGCGTATGCTAGTAGATCACTTTCATTCCCAGAGCGAAATTGAACAGTCACGCAACGGGAATTGTTAGCTGTCATTTTTAGTATCGAGAAATTCCGTTCTTATGTTGAAGGGACTAAGTTTATTGTCAAAACAAACCATTTCTCCCTTTTGTGGCCTAATAATATAAAAAACTCCACAGGTGAACTTGCAAGATGGGCTGTGAAACTTTGCCAATACACGTTTGATCTCAAACATCGTCCCGGATCTTCCAACATAGTACCTGATGCGTTGTCCCGCATGCCACATGATGATTTACCAGATGTCGCGTCTATTACTTTTGTTCGAAATGATTTGGACTAGTGGTACACTTCTTCATCAGATAAAATACAGAGAAATCCCGAGTTATATCCTCAGTGGAAGTACGAGGAAGGACAGTTATTCGAATTCATTCCGAGTAAAGCTACAGTTAAAACAAACATTAGAGAATGGAAAATTTTTGTGTCCGAGTCAAAATGACAGGAGATCATCAAATCATTACATGATCCGCCCACGAGCAGTCATTTCGGTTTTTATAAAACCTTGAATCGCATTCAGGAGCAGTATTACTGGTCAAAAATGCGTACGGATGTAATGAAGTATATCAAATCTTGCACTATTTGCGCGTCACAAAAAATATCGTCCACACCTCGTATGGGTTGAATAGGATCAGAGAAAACTGCTGATTCTTCATGGCAGATCATAGCTGCAGATTTGATGGCTTAATAAAAAAGGTAACTTCTATTAACTGGTAGTAGCAGATTGCCTTACCAAATATACCTTGCTCTTTCCAATGAGAAAGGCTACGGCTCAAAATGTTTCTAGATTCATAGAGAATAATGTTTTTCTAGTTCTCGGTGTTCTGCAGTATATCAATGTCGACAACGGAGTTCAATGCTCGTTATCATCCTCATGTTTGTGGAGCGCATCAACAAGACTGTTGGTACTGCCATTAGGTGTTTCATAATACGTCATGAAGATTGGTATTTAGAACTTCCTGGAATAGCCCAAGCAATAAATACCGCCAAGCATGAATCCACTGGATTTTCAGCAACTTTCCTCAATATTGCAAGTCATGTCTCTTATTCATCCGGAAATTATTATGGAACTGTGCAATCAACGTCCGATGTTGAAATAATGCCAGGTGATCGAGGAGGCTATGCTTCCGAATTGACTTCCTTGCAGAACGTTTTCGAAGAAGTTCGAACAAAACTCCATGACGCATATGCACGAAATTCGAAGAATTATAATTTAGAAAAGAGAGATTTCTCATTCAATGAAGGAGACAAGGTGTGGCGCAGGAATAAAGTGCTCTCGGACGCAGCTCAGAGATTCTCAGCTGAGCTCGCTCCTAAGTATGTTTTATGTACTGTTTCGAAAAAGATTACGCAACTGGTTTATTCATTGGTTAATGATAAAGGTGCGCCAGCAGGAAACTGGCACATCAAGGATCTGAAACCTTATTACGGGTCCAACGCGGACGTCTCTGTTGGTTGACCATCCTCATTTTTTTGTAAATATTTTGTGAATACAATTCCCTTGATAGGAGGGTAGGAAGCGACTAGCCATGTTTTCAACTCTAGTATTCCTTTGACAAGTCCTGACTGACTGAAAAGGAAAATTCGGAGGAATGGTGCTCCTGATAAAACTCAATACTGTATACCGTTCTTGGAATTTTGCAATTTGAGGAAAATTAAGTAATGGCTGATGCTGGTATGGAATAAGGTTCATTAGGATCAATAACATATTCATCAGAATCTATGGAATATCATATCATTCTTGTCACTGAAACTATTGATTGAACAGAGAATAACAATAATTTCACGTGATAATTTGGGATTTTCTCTCCTAGTTCCTACAATATGAAAATATGAGTATCATCCCAATATATGTGGAGTAGGACAAATCATATGATTTGCCTCAGAATGTCAGCATTCATTGAATTCTTTTATCAGGTAGCTTGAAAGAAAAATCCAATAGCTTGTCAGTCAGTAAGAGAGGTATTTTCGTTTCACCTGTCAAGGATGAAATAAAACGAGTACTAAATCAAGGAGAGACATATCGATAGATCAAAGCTAACTGAACATACCCTTATGGAAAATGGACAACAACTCGCCGAGTGGAATGATATTGAAATCATATAAAAGGAAAATAACAACCAGAAGAGAAAAATCAAAGAATACGCTTGCATTCTTCTGAACGGAGACAATAGCATTGCTTCCTGTTCAGTTGACCTAGATAGAACATGGTATCCACTTCTGAGAACTGAACATGAGAATGGTAGATCCAAGATCAATGAATGAAGATACCCTGTCAATATTTTGCAGTTTTATGTTGAGAACAAGAGCAGATTCGTTCCCGAAACGTCCAAAGATGATAGAAATTCCATATTTTTTCTCACCAAACTTTTCTTCTTAACAAATTGTCACTGACAAGTTATTGGATTTTTTTTATGCTTCCTGATAGAAAAATTCCTTAAATGTATTGATATAATATATACACATAATAATATATCGAAATATTACTCATATTCTTTTTTTGTAGAACCGGGAAGAGGAAGTCCCAAATAATCAAGTGAAGTTAATGTAACACCTCCTCAATCAACCGACAGGAAGTATTCGAGAAATAACAGGAAGGAAGTTGAGATGAATCTGACTACAAACATTGAATATTTGATCAGTTAGAGTAAGTCTTCAAGATATATGTTCTGTTCTTACAACAATTCCAGAACAATTTTAGTATACTTTTTTCCTAAGATACAACCCGACTGTGTAATCCAAGTTTTTAGCCAAAAATATTTCAATATTATTCTTGTGATTTATTTCTCAATTCTGGAGTCCAGCATCGAAAATAATATGTTGTTGTTGTCGGTTTGCAATGGATAGGTTATATTTCTTCATAGTTCTTTCTCTTAACGTAGCTGTATGCTAGCAACAGCTATCATTTCATCATCTGCAGATCAAATTAGTACACAGTATTGAGTTTCACCAAGAAGAATATATTCTTGTGGAATTTGATGGTATTGAAATTCACAATCAATTTGGATTGGGAGATTCGACCTCAAGAAAGTTTTTTTTGAAACTACTCGGTACAAACCGTGTTACTAGCACCCTCTATGGATAAAAAAGCGAATTCATCTGTCAGCTTCCAATACGCTTCCATTCAGAATTTCATCACAATGTTGTCAGAAGATTTAACATGATTTTAGAAAAAATTCACAAACATATTTTTTTCAGCACCTTGAACGTCGAAAATAGATGTCGTTGAGTTTTTTCACCGACCAAACCCAAGTCATTTTGCAGTGCTCCACCTATCCTTCTGAGAAGGTCATCTCTCATTGAAACACCCTATATAGGTGGATGCTCAATTCCACGTCAATCATTTTCTCACTTTCAAAAGGTGTCTTGAGAACAATGATTTATAGAGTTGAAGATGTACACATTACTTCAATTCAAATTCCAATATCTATCAAAATTCACTCAAGAGGCGAGGCTGTGATATCATTCAACAGCAGAATTGATATGGGTAGAGAATCAGTTGGTATGATTCATGGACAACCAAGAACGTCTCCGAATATACGTGGTAGGTATACGTGATCATTATCACGTATGCTAATCAAAATACCAGGAATTATTACTTACCCAAAATGATATCCATCTTCGTTTTGTCTGTTACTAGATGCGAGTATTACTTCATTGTTTTCCCCAATTGCACAAACAACAGTTACTGCTATCACAATTAATGAAATCTCGATCTTCATCTCTGCCAAATAAACAGGAACTGGTTCTCAACATTAATTGAAATATACGTCGATTGTATTATAAATACATAATGTGCTGCATTAAAATAATAATTATGAGAACATCGTAATTTGTTGCGAAACTTTCGAATGTTTCGTAAAGTGTAATCTTCTCGACGAGGTTGTAATCACCATCGGCAGGTAACCGCAATGGCTGAATAACTTGATTCGCCTCTATTAACAAGTTCAAGGCTGACCCCTAGAGTAGGGCCGACATACTCGTATGCAGTTCAATGTACCTACACTCATAATCTGGTGAAATAATCGTCCAATGTTATTTCGATTTCATGATGCATAATTAAAATGGTATAGCAAAATGTATCTCAATCCTTATAATGTGCCGGATGGAACAGGGAAATATGAAGGAAATTGCAGTCGAAAGTTCATGAATATTCGTTATAATGATAAGTCTAGAGTCCCTGTATGTATAATTCCCTGTGAGAATTCCCTGTATATGTTTGACACTTTTGCTGTAATAAGAGTACGGACACTCTGACAAGCAGTGACGGAAGGCATAACCCCAAATTCTCAAGATGACTTTTGAACAAAGACATGGATATGCTTTTCCATGCACTTCGGATCTTCTATCCTCTACTGCCGCGGTGAAGGGTACATCCATATATCTTTCTCTGTCTTTATTTCCATGAAGAAGTGGCGTCTCATCTCACTGGCGAAAAGGGGTCATAGTTTGTAAATCCATTTGTTGAAAGTATTTCTCGATATACTTATATTTGTTCTCATAACATACTAAGACACTTCATAGGGCATGAACGATCAGAAAATTCGACAAATACGAGTATAATGATTATAATTCAAGAATAGTATATCCTATGACAAGAATACAAAATTTCAAATGATGGTAGAGTAAAGTGGGGTGATATGGCAATATAAAATTTGAATGCTCACAATCTAATAAACATCGCGCCTAGCTGAAAGACGATGACTGCATGTTAGAGCTTACACAATATATTTTTGTGTCCAGAGTCGCTCGTTGCCATTTTTCCACACAGCAAAAAATTACAAGTAAAAATGCATAGTAATATCATATTGCCATATGACCCCATTATATTCAGAATCATGATAAATATGTTGCTCATAAATAGCAACTTTACCTAGAATACCTTTCAATTTGTAATCGATTTCATTGATTCGCGTTTTAAAATACTGGAATTGACTATAATTTTGGTTGAAATATATTCCCTAACTATCAATTTGGGTCTTGAGTCGATTCAAAATTGCCTGTATTCTTGCATTAGCAGTTTCCTCATACTCTTCCAAAGATTTTCGATGGGATAGTTGAAGATCTAAAATTATTCCCTTATAATAGTTGTGAATATTCGTAACTTGCAGTCTTGTTTCAGAATCTCTTTGCTTCAAGCTATTTTTCAAATGTTCGTCCTTTTTTTCGATTTTTTCTTCTGTACCTTTCATCATTAACTATTGATACATTTCGAATTTCGGCATATCTTCTCTCTAAATATTCGATAATTTCTTGTTAGTGATCCAAAATACATTTAATTTCATCTTGGTATTCTACTCAAATTTTTCCTCGTAAAAATTGTCCTGAATTCGATAAGGAATGTCTTCGATAATCCTTCTGATGATGGAATTGAGGCTCTGCATTTTCTTTCAATTTGATGGTATGTTCCACTATGGAATCTTCACATTTGAAGTGCACCTATAATGTTAAAATTGAAATTATAAATGATATCATTCCTTCGTTTATGCATCATATTCAATCGAAAAATTTAAATATTGAGTACTTACTTCGCAAATCTTGCTACCTGAATTCAATTTCCATAGTGGCCGCTTCAAATTTTCTTTCCATTTCTGTAACTATTGTTGGTTAGAATGTGGGAAATGGAAGAAATGAAAGGACTCGCTTCCATTTTTGCAATTCTGCACTACACAATTAGACATTTTGATTTTTGAAAACCTGAATTTTCAAATAATTCAATGTTATTTACGTTCATGAACTGTCAGTGCCCGCCAAATTGTTCATGTCATTTCAAATTTTTTAGGGTTATGCCTTCTGTCACTGCTTGTTATAGTGTCCGTACTCTCATTACACCAAAAGTGTCAAATACATACAGGAACACCAAAAGTGTCAAATACATACAGGGACTCTAGATAAGTCCAAGGGACTTTTCATATACCAGCAATGTATTGAGAAACTTCTTCTGACAATCTGATATCGAAGATCCTTTTTCTATGAAATTATGTGTTCATTGATGTCTGTACTCCTGCATCGAATCTATGCCAGGAAATGTGTATCTAATGATAGAGTAGTCAAATTTGAAAGAATAGCAAAAATAAATGGTAGAGAGCTTTTATAAATTGGTATTGACCTTCAACCTAGCTCACTTCTGAAAGTATCAAAAGTCCGGATCATTAACAGCAGGAATCAATTTGCCATCTTGAAGAAAAGGTACTTCGATTTGTTTTATCTCTTATATCTCTGTCCAGGTGGGTTATTTCATATTGAATTCCATCAAATGAACTGATGCTCATTGAGTTTCCTACGTGAAGTATTAATATCATTGTATCCTATCATTAATAAGTTTTTTGTCATACACTGTTGAAATGACATGTTTATTGGGCAGGGTCGATAATAACAGGTGTGCAGCGCGAGAAATGCTCGCTGCCGCATATTTCATCATGTAGAATTTTTTTCAATCTCATCATAATCCAAATAAATATCCTGAATTCTGAAAAATTATCGAAGAATCAGAATGAATCCCAAATTCTGGATTGCAAAGCATAATAGTATGAGAAAGATAGTTTGTTAGCAGGTATCTTGTATTGTTGGTCTATTGTCAATTGATGTATGTACATATATGTAGAAAACTTGTTTGAGATGACCGAAATGTTCCTAGAACGAAGAAGACATCATCAATAGATGTTGATATATAAAAGGAAGAACAAACCATTGGTAGGTCTGTGTTTGGACCATGAAATTCGTATACTTCTCATCTTTTTGTAGAGAGATTTCTTCTCTATGTGAGAATTTCACAATATATATTTGGGGACGCCCATGATCAGGTTGCATGACCGAGTTCAGGTGTCTGGCGTCAAACGAAACCGATGCGTATGTCCTAAGACTTCTTCGCCGTTGTCATCAAAGGCGAAATGTAGGGGGTGGCAGCGCCACTGGTATCGAGTATGGTTGTATAAAAAACTCGTTCATTCTTTGAGAACTATCCGATGTTTGTACAAGGTCGTTCGGCCTGTGACATCAAGAAAAATGGTTTGGTATTTTCCTTATGAAATGCTGAAACTTGTTTACTCGATGCCACCTCCTTTGAAAAGCCCAACATGCCGAAAAAAATCATGAAGATCACGTAATCTGACGTCATTGATTTGATTTTTATGATCCACACAGAACCAAAAAGGTACGTACATTCGATGAAAAAAAAAAGATCGTGAAAAATAAATGTATTTCAACATTAATTTTCAACCGATGCTCGAATTCATTGAATTGATATATTATTAATGATTGCCTGACGTTCAAGTGACTATATCAATCCTTGAGAGGCATCAATTTCATCATCTGAGTTATGGAACGAGAAACATTCTTTCAATGTCAATTGTGTATTAGTCAATCATCATTTCCATTGATACAATTCCATGAGTACATGTATATCAAGCATTGTACTAATGTTTTCTGTACATCCACCAATCACTTGCAGTGATCATATGAACCCAGGCCCATGTTTCGATCACCTAGACATTATTTTTTAGCCATTCCCATGATACCTTTTGTAACATCGTTCAATCAATTGTCCTCATTTGTTTAATGTTCGCAGACATCAATATAATAACAACAAACATCAACCAAAAAGCATGCTGTACAGGATTCGCCTCACAAATTGAACGCCCACCCAACTTTTTCATTCTTGAAGAAATGAAAAAAAAACTGATGGAAAATGTTGGTTCAGATTCAAAAAACACGTTTTTGATTGGTTGAAATATCCGTGTTAATAAAAGAAAACATTATGTTTTCGAATTTGTATTTCGGCAGTTGATTGGACACTGGATAATATGCTGTGTTTTCGATTTTGTATTTCGTTTCCTGGTTGTTTCTTCATGGTATGAAGTCCATATCAATCTAGAAGTGAAATTTAATATGATTTGATCATAATGATCAGAATAATGTGATTCAAATTATCAGTCTGAATCCTGATGGTTATTTATAGAATGGCCATTTTCCTAAGATATTATAGAAGTAGTCTAGAGTATTCATTTCATTCAACCTCTATTTGCTACAGGCCTTTCAGCAATGATGAAATTCCTCCGAAGATAAATTGTCCAATTTGAGCGATCTTACTGTCGCTTCTGCGTCTTCCTCGGGAACTGAAATGATAAAGGTACCTATAGTATTCATATATTTATATTTCATTATACAGGTTGTCCCGAAATCAGCCTGCCAGACTTTACCAGCGACTTCTACGTCCAAAAATAGGAAGAAAAGTTCCAATAAACATGAGTCGGAAAATGTCTCCTAAGGGAACTACGGCCTCCTGAAAAGGGGAAAAGGTCTCCTGTTATTCCGTATCGTTCAGATGTATTATTCTCGAGTAAAATCTGCTGAATGAAATCTTGAGTGTAATCGACTATTATTTTGAAATTGTGTCCCATTCTTCAATAAATCATATAATAATAATTATTATATAATAATATACTAACTAAACAACCTTTTATTCTAACCAAAGACAACAAGAATCTTCCGGCTACAAAAACACAACAAAAACTTCTTCTCAACCCTGCAGTCTTTCAGTTACAATGGACATCTTCGTATAAGTAACCAACTTAAAGGGTAGGTAAACATTTATCGAACGATGATTTTTAGGGGGTGTAAGGATTTGTGGATCGACAATGGACTGTTAGGACCTGGGTTATACACTTTCTCGAATATTAAATAGACTTTTGAACACTATTCTTGTAAATTAACTGCAGCTGACAGTGATCTTTTTATCTATTCATTGTCTCGAACAGAATTGTGTCACACTGTCAAAACTGTCAAAGCCTCCTAGTCTGGTCGCAGGTTTGTTACTGGGTGGCCTTGCAGCTTCATTATCTTCATATATAGGTACTGGAAAAGCAACAATAAGATCAACTATTTCTTTCAACAACCGGGCTAAAAACAGAACTTCATTAAC